AGAATTTCCAGGCTCTGACCGAAAAGATCACGCTGAGAAATATCCTGGTTTTCCCCCCAGATCCCCGCCCTGCACCGGGGGCTGTGTGTGCGTGGGAAGATGGGCTTTGCTTTCTAACACCGGGACGAGCTTCTTGCCCAAAATCCAGCTGTAACGATGGGCGTCGCTAAGCGGTAAAATCAGCTGGGTTTCCCCCCAAGCCCCTTTATTTTTCCCCTTACTCAAAAAGGGTTTGGGTAGCAGCAGCATCGCCACCCCTGAGCTCCCACCTCCTGGCTTTCAGATCAAATCGGGGGCACGTTGTGGAGACACTTTTAAAAAGCAACCGGCTTCAAAACCGCCACCTAAACCGGCGTACGGCTGGGTTATCAACCGCGGGGTTTAGCTCCGGAGCGCAGGCAGGCAGGTGAGCCCTCCAAAAGAGAAATTCAGACCCCAAGAGGCTCGGAGCTTTCTCATTAGATGCACTGACCAAAACGACCTCGGCGTTCTGAAACTGCAGATTTATTGCGCTTTTCTTTCCTTTTTTTTTTTTTTCTCCAAACCTCTCGGGAAGTGTCTGCTTTAGCGCAAGAGAAGGATAATGTTTTAGCAGCACTCGTGTTCCAATTGTGTAGGGTGACTGTATGGTATCACCTAAAATACCTCCCATTCACTCATGGGCACGCACGCAGGCATCTGAAAATATTAAGAACATGAATGCTTCAAGTGGGATTGTTTTGCAATAATAATACAACCTCGTGCATGCTTTGCCTTGCGTTACGCATAAATACGTAAAAAGCATCTAGAAGAAAGCTGCTTGTTTTCCTCACAGAACAAAAACAATCTGCAAAATCCTACAGCTCTTATTTGCAAGTTATCTTTAACTTTTTTACTGGAAGAAATGGGTGAGCGCATTGATGACATGCAGAAGCACGTTGCTGACCTGATGACAGAGGCTGGGATCAGAAACACCGCTGAAGAGTTGAGGGTAAAGAAACTTAATTTGTACGTGTTTTATATATTTATACACATTCCCATTTAGTTTTGAACCATGGGCAGCACCGAGCATGAAAATATTATTTAGATATTTATCACACCTGCATTTACTCAGATTTTAAAGTGTACTGAATTAAAAAAAAGATAATTTCAAATTGCCTTGGATTTCTTCTTGCCGAGAGCCACGTGCTGCCACTTTTTCAAAAGGGCCGCTGCAGCTGTTCCAGCTCAGCGCCATGCGTGAGCAGTAATGCAGGTTAATCCCAAATATGTAAACTGAAGCCACACATTCTTAATAAAACAGCTTCAAGCACTCCTGCCCACTGTTCCTGTCCCTCAGGTCTGCTGACCAGCCTGACTGAGGGTTCTCTCAGGTGTAAATTTATGTACATCTGCTGCTAAACCTGCTCCAGCTTCCCCGTGTGGCTCAGCACACGCACACCCCGAGCACAGCAGCGGTTCCTTCTCATGGCACTAAGACGGGGTGGAAGGAGCCAGGATAACTTTAGCATTGCCATCCAACGCTCTGCAACGTAAAATCGTGATGCTGAACCACCGTCATGAATAATTAAACCCCTTGACCTACTTACTCCCCATTTCTTTGCAGCACTGAACTGAGGATGCAGTCAGGGGAGAGAAGAGATCAGTTCGGCACCTGGAAGCTCACAGGCAGTGTCACCGGTCACAAAAAGTGTCAGTGAAGACCAACATGCTTGCACGATGTTGCAATATAATGTCAATTTATTCACCTAAACAGGACGCTCTATTTCCTGTAACTGGGAAAAGATCTGTTAAGTTTCAGGGAAGGCAAAACCTCCGCAAACTTAACCCTTTGCAGACTTTGTCAATGTATGAAAACGTACTTCGCTCATTTTCATATTAAAATTTTAACCATGTTTCTTTGTTGCTTTTTTTTAACGTAAACGTTCTCTAACATCCTTCTCTGACAGCGCTTCCATCCGCACGCGCCGTTTTGACGCTTCGTTGAATGTTTCACGTTACAAAACGCGTCTCAGCGACGTTATTACGGAGGGGCCTTTGCAGAACGTTGTAGGTCTGATGAACGTCAGCTGCCCTGCACTGAAGGACACCTCAGGCTTTTTTTAACGTAAACGTTCTCAGAATAACATCCTTCTCTGACAGCCCTTCCATCCGCGCGCGCCGTTTTGACGCTTCGTTGAATGTTTCACATTACAAAACGCGTCTCAGTGACGTTATTACGGAGGGGCCTTTGCAGAACGTTGTAGGTCTGATGAACGTCAGCTGCCCTGCACTGAAGGACACCTCAGGATTTGCAGATAGTGGCCGTTTGTTCTTCACAGCCCACCCAAAGCTGCGCACACGCGCACAGGTAATATCACCCAGGTATACCCATTCCAGTTAACCTGAGCCCATTGTGATGAAACAGCCTGTTTTAAGGACTTAAGAGACAGATGAGGAATTCTCGTTACCAAATGTGTCCCCAACAAGACGCAGCAGCAGAAGAAAACCTCGTGGTTCTTGTCCTCCAAAATGTTGGCATTTTTTTCAACTTTTTTGAGGGTGCTCAAGCAGCAGAACAGGCTTTCCTGAAGGGCTGTGGAATCTCCATCCTTACAGAAAACACCAGATACAGCCTTGCGCAACCTCTCCGAGCCTGACCTTTGACTGGGAAGTTGGCGGTCCCTTCCAGAATAATCTCGTAATTAATAACCCACGTAAACCAGATTAACTTCAGCAGAAATTGGGACCCCAAGTTTCACTTTCCTGACTCATTCTAAAATATCCCTGACATCAAGAAGAGCGTATTCTCCTTAGCTTTGATCCAGTTTGTCACAAGACAATCTCCTTCATGCATAGTCCAGTTTGTTTTTTCTTAAGCCCTATTTAGACACACCTACCAGTTAAAAACCAAACCAAAACCACCCCAAAGCTGGCTCCGTTACCACAAGGCAAAAGTTGTCAGAAACGAAACCTTCGAACACCGTGTTGTGGCAGAATCCAGCCCAAGTCTCACAAGTACGTGTGTGTGTTAAAATATTAGACGAAAGGGAGGTCAGATGAGAGAAAGCACAGCTCATCTTTTCTTCAGCTGCTGACCACGCCACCAGCATCATCTTTAACACTAATGACTCTGCATCCAATTGCATTTGTTTTCATTCTGATATGTAATTAGCCAAAGAAAGTTAAGGTGAATAAGTGGAACTCGCTTTATTCTTTTAAAAAAAGCCAGATATTCATGTAACAAAACCAAACCAGTTGAAACTGTTTTCTGCAAACAGGCTTTTTATGTACAAAAATACATCATACCAAAAGGACAGCACAGATTTAAAAATAAAAAACCTACCCAAAATTCAGCTGCGGTATTTCTGCAGTCCGACAGTTCCAGCCTTCATGTCTTCTACTTTTCCGAATGGACTTCAAACCTCTTAATTCAAAATATGCACAAAGTCGACAGATTGGTAGCTTTTTTTTTTCTTTTAATATATATATGTACACACATACACAAGAATAAATTCAAGTAGACTTTAAAAAAAAACAAAACAAAAAAAGGCAGCCCGAAAGAAATGTCAGTATCTGTATTTAGTGGAATAATCTTTCGGCGACACCACCAAACCTCGACCTTTGCGGGCTCCTCTATAAACAGTTTCTATAATGTCGATCATCTCTTGCTTATCTTCCATTGCCCAGTTGATCTTGTTGTTATTACCGGTACCTAAATCAATCATGATGTGTTTGTTCCTTTAAAGGGAGAGGAAAAAACCAAACAAATAAACAACAAACCAACCACAGACAAGTTAACATGGTGGTTTAATTCAGAAAGAAGCTTTATATCCCCCACAAAAATACCATTTAACGCAAGTTTGACAAGCTTGACTGGTGTATTCCTGTGGCATTCTATGGGGAGTTTCAGACTGAAAACCAACCCAAAGGATAATAAAAGTTGAGTTTGTACTCTATTACCAAAACACCGTCACTAACGGGAAAACAAACCACTTCCCCTATTTAATCAGTTTACTCTTTTGCGAAGCAATAAAAATAGAACCATCAGAACACTGATGTGCATTTAGAAATGATCTACTGACACACTGCATTTGGCTTGATTTAAAAAAAAAATAAAAAAGTCATTAACCAGGTCACATTCTAGAACTGCTGCGTACCTGAAGAAAAACATGACGGTACAGGGATCGTACAACTCGTACATCTTGTTGAAGTCCGGTACTTCAGTGATATCCACAAGGTAAATGACAGCAAAATTTTTTACCTAAACAGAAGGAAACAGGAAATATAAAAGCAATATATGTTACCAGGCCTCTAATTATATGTATTACCAATTAAAAGATTTTAAGCTCTCAGTGACAGGCCAAGCTTGGAACAAGGAGAGCAACGGCTTCACGCAAGCCCAAGCTGACACGTTTTGCCTCTGCTGTCAGCTGCTTATGAACTTGAGAAAAATTAATGATCTTAAAGCATTCCCCCCCCCACAAGACATCTGATTTGTTTAACAAGGCTCATGAAATGAAAATAAAACAGAACATTTAATAATAAAAAAAGGATAACTTGATTTGAGAGGTGTAAAGCTAAAACAGCTTAAAAGTTCAGTTGTTAATGAGAACAAGACCTCAAGGAGAAGCTACTCTGGGCAATTCTGGTAAAACAGGCTTATGTTTTGCAGAGTTACCAAGTTAAATGCACGAGAATCCCTCCCCTTTAATGTTATCGTTAGTCTTCACTCCTGAAAGAAAACCACCAGGTCAGGTTTTGGTTCCTAGATGTAGCATTTTTTAACCTTAAGTGGAACTAGGAGAAGTTTTAGTTTCTAAACTTGCCTCATATATAAATAGCAGAAAGCAACGTGCGCACACACATCCAAGGGACTGAAGTCACTCCCTGGTCAGCCTTAGGAGGCAAAAGACAGTCGTTGGAGGTTGTGGGGTTTTTCTCCCAAACAAAACAAAAATACCCCCCCCCCAAGAAAAAACAACAAAAAAACCCCCAAAACTGAAAAGCCATTTCCATTTTCTCTTACCATTTAGTCTTTCGTCCTGCTGACATTTTTAGCACCAGCAGCACAGCTTAACCACATGGGGAAGCTTCTACAACATCTTTGGCAATTCTGATAAACTAAATACCATCTCTGAGCAATTACTTAATTTAGAGGTTAAAAATTATTTTTTGTTAAACCAAGGATTAACAGAACATTCTTAGGACCTGCTTGATTCACTGAAGATTTAGTCCAAGGAGATTATACACCACACCAGAAAACCACTGCAAAAGCCCTGCTACACCAAAATTTTACTTCCAGGAACTGCGCACTCCACTTAGTACTGGAACTAAATGAACTTTTGAAGTTGATTTTACATCATATAAATTTAATTCGGTTGAGCTGTTGCAGAACCAGAAATGTTAATCACCAGCAATGAACATAAAAGGTCTACAATTTTAGAAAAGACTATTCAAGCCTTAAATTCTTACATAGACCTTACTCAAAAGGACCAGGTCGCTTAAATCACCTCTGGATGGCACATACCCAAGTTATCACCATTATCTCAGACATTCACTGAATCCTTCTTCGCCTCTCCATGGGAATAAACGCACAGCTGCCTACTTGGATAGAAGTGAAAGCAGTGACAGTTGCACCTTCATTTTTGAGGCAGCAGTCGCTGAGGTGGAGACCTCAGAACAAGAATGAAACGCAGGTCTGAGCAAGGCTAAATGAAAGCAGTTGCAGTTATAACAACTGAGACTCCTCTGAGGTTGTTAATGTGAACCCAAATTTTACTGTCCAGACAACACGCAAATACCTTATGGCACTTTAGAAGCTGAACACGCAGTAACACGAGTTTATTCTGGGAGTACTTAACCTCCTGACATACACTAAAATGTACATTCATTGCAGTTCATCAGCTGCTTTCTGAAGAGAAAACAAACAAAACTCCCTTGCTGTAAGACTTCCTTCTGGGCAGCTCAACACCTGAAGACAAAAACATCTGCAGCACAAGGACAAGACAGGTATTAACTTCTGAAGGTATTTATTCCTGACACTCTGACTTCCTTTATCCATCTCCCAACTCAAAACTCTCCCTGTCTTACCACACCATCGTAGCCTGCTGCCCACAGGGCCACGACGGAGCAGGACACTAAAAGCCAAACAGCAGCACAGATTCCAAATTTTACCAGACTTACTTCCATTAAATGGGCTTCAATTTCGGTGTGGGGTTTTTTGTTTTTTTTTTTTAATCTTTATTACTATAGCTTCACAGCTTAGTCAACGTTACTCAACAGGCATATACAAAAAAATCAAAAGGACACTGTTGCCTGGTCACAGTTTCAGGCTATTTTAATACCTCACAGAACTGTATCTGCTTGGCTGGGCTCCTATTAAATCTTGAAACAGAAAGGCTCAAAACTATAAATGAGAGGAATATATAGGACTCATAACATGAGATACAGACTCTACATTCTATCGACTCTGTATCAATACCCCACACTTGGTGGCAAAGAGGAAACACAGATGTAGGAAAAAAAAAGTATGCCAGATGAAATAAATCTCATTTGTCCTCCAAAGTTCTCCCTCCTGACTTCAAAAACATCATTCAAAAAAAAGAAACAATAATGTATTCCTACATGAGATTGCCACAGAAACATCATCAATGACCACACAAAAAAAAAAAATTTGCAACAATTGTGAAGGTTCTTTACATTTTTGCTAGGGGTAAGTAATATATTTATTTTATTTTTTTTTAAGATTTCAGCTTCCTTTAAGAAGCAAATCTCACTGCCCTGCATCACCTTACGGTCCAAAGTGCATATAGCAAATGCCTAAGGAATCTGAGACAAGATTTAAGATTCCATCTTCTCACCTTCCTAACCAATCTCTAAACAATATTTTTAACATTGAGATGTCTTTACAGTCAAGGAAATCACAGGGAAAAAAATACAAATAACCGAAACCACCTTGTGCAACAAAGCATTCACGCTGGAGAAGCCTGGCACTGCTGAACTAAAAGAAGCTGCAAGCACAGTAAGTGCAAATGTGAAAGGCTGCACTGCCAGCGTTTATTTGAATTTTTTCTTGCTAATTATGCCGTAAACTTAGATAAATGCATTGGAAAAAAGAGATAAACCTTATGCTGCTGAGAGCAACGCTTACAGATAACAATTCTGAAAACTACACATGCGAGTGAACGTATTAGCTTTGCTCAACTTTAACTATAAACACCAGTAACTATAATATAAGTATTTTTTATCACTCCCTCTTCCCTGCTCCCCTCTTTCTTTTCCTCTTTCTCATGTCACCTTAACAGAAAGGCAGAGGCACAACGAAGGTTTAAGCAAAAGCCACAACTATTTGCAATTCTGATTACGGTTCAGTAAATGCAGAACTTTTGAACGGCCCTCCCTAAACCCACACTGACCCAAATACAACCTATTGATGAGTGACCTGATTTCAGAAGAGGTTATCTGGTTTACAGCATGCAGTCCTAGAAAAATCATAGTTTTAAAAAAATTCTTTAAAAAGTGGTATTAAAGCCATTTAGCAGCGAAAGCCTTGTATTTCAGCAGTTGGGTTTTGATACCTCCAAGCCTCCTTTAAAAAAAGTGTATTTTAAAAAAAACAAAAGTGTCCCAGAAGAATTTTGTGAAACCCAGTTCACAGCTGTTTGAGTGAAACCCAGACAAAGCAAAAAATCTAGTATCTCACAATTATAACTTGTTTTGAAACTCAGTCAAACCTTCCTTCTTTTTCATCTAACATGGGGCAGGGAGGGGGAAGTCAACTGGAACTGGAACACATTTTGGTGAAAATACACTGCTTTGTATTTTCCTGTAGTGCTTCTATTCTCCCAGAAGGATTTAATCTGAAAAACATCCCTGTTCTCCTGTTTTAAAGGATATATAAATATTGTTGCTACCCAGAAATTCGCCGCAGGCTAAAAGACTATCACATCCTAGTAACAAATGGCTTCATTTTCTTCAAACGCGGCGCAATTACAGCACGTCAACATTCTGCATTATTCTCTAGCACAAACACCTGTATAATTGGAACTTTTACTCACTCTTTAAAACAGCAGAGATCCAAACATGGCTTGTAAGCAAGAGGATGAGGAAGGATCTCCCCCTTTAATCTGCCATTTCTGCAGAGGGAGATTTTTAAATAAGAAGTTACATTGTTCTTTCTTCCCCCAGCCACCCCTAACTGCCAGCAGGTCTGCCAAATTGGTTCATTTATCTAAGAGTAACATTCAAAACCAAAGGAGTATACCATAAAAAGAACTTGGTATCGAGTTATGTGGTATGTATATAATCTTACATGAAGACAGTTCACTCCTTTTCCTACTCAAATTTCCATTTCTTGGTCAATTTTTTTTTTCTTTTTTTTTTGCATTTTCTATCACAATCTTACATGAAGATAGTTCACTCCTTTTCCTACCCAAATTTCCATTTCTTGGACAGATTTTTTTTTTTCTTTTTTTTTTGCATTTTCTATATGGTTCATTTAAAAAAGAGCCGTCAATTTTCTGTATCTATCACTACACAAAACCTGTACCGAATACAAGAAAAGGTAAATTTTAGCTGACTTCATGTTAACAGCCTAATTTTTCTTCAGTATCTTACTTAAATG